GGGTTACACCCTCACAACACCCCCCCCAACTATCCTTCCACCCCCACTCCCCTTTTCTATGCTTTTCCAAACACAGTGTCCGTCAGCACGAGATCAGCCCAGCTCACTGTCGCTTACATTATGGGATAGATTGTGTCTGTGGTTATTGAGCTGTCGGTTGAGAGGGTACAACGACGGTGTCAAACATCTCAAATAAAATTTTTAAAATTGGATAAATAGAATTTTTTTTAAACTCTTGGTCTAGCTCCTTTACTCAATTCTAGGGTCTGGCGGTGGAGGAATTAAGCATGGCTCTATAATTCATTTATCGTACAAGGACCCCAATCCTGGAATCTTTGTATATATGTAATTGTATCTCTTGATTGGATTTTTTATTTCTTTCTAAAGCGTGAAAAAAGAATTTAAAAAGAGACAGAACACAGATGTGGTATTTCATTCTGTCAGATCTTACGTACCTATCACGAAGCTTACACTGGCTTTGGCACGTCTGAGGAAAGGAGCTTTCACTTCACACTTGTAGGCCCCAATATCGTTGTGATCGTTTACCTCAACAGTCAAGATGTGTCTTGTCTCATTCGGCATGAGCTCACCCTGAAAGTAGGGCAGTCAAAATTGTCTAAGACGGCCACCCATTGCCCGGGGGGGGGGGGGGGCCAACTGAGAGGGGGGGGTGGCCCTCTTAGGCAGATAAACAGAAGTCTTACACAGTGTCTTTATGATGCATGTATTTGAAAAACCCACAAGGGGGATGTGGTAAGTGGCATTTTGTACAGACGATTGTCTACTTATATAGTATAAGTGGCCGTTAGAATAGGTTAGACAGCATATTTTTTGGTTGACAGTTTTTCAATTTTATTTATAGATGTTTAACATCCCCATCGACACCATTTGAATAATGTAATTCGGGAGGTGCGCTTCCACCCTGCCTACCAGAGCCAACCCGGGCTGAGAGAGGATACAGCGTCCCAACAGAAAGACGGATATACTCGTTAAAGATCCTTCGGGGGCTCTCGTGGCCTAGAGGTTAAGGCCTCTCATTCAAAGGTCCCGGGTTCGAATCCGGGTAGCGACCGAACAATTTTCTTCTCTAAAATTGTCTCCTTTCACCTCCTTTCCTGCTCTCTAGCAATGTTCTGTTGTCTGCTTTCATTTCCAC